TGCTGGGGTCTCCGCGGCGGCGGCGTCGCTGCTGGCCCCGATGGGGGCCTGTGCCCCAGCAGCCGCAGCAGAATGCGCCCACGATCCACTCGTGCCAGTAGATTTAGAGCGGGTAGCCGAACGGGTTGTCCTTGTGGGCGCGGGGCTCGACGGTCGGGGGCTGGATCCCCTGCCCCCGCGCCCCTCGGCGGCCTCCCCATGGCCGCAGGCGCTGGCTGCGGGTGCCAACGGCCAGCCAGCAACCGCTCGTCTGGGCCAGCTGCAGCTGCGACAGGGGAGCACAGGCCTGGCCAATCTAGGTCTTCTGGATTCGAAGCCCAGAATGTTGGCAACCTGTCCAGCGGCGAGCGGCCTCTCGGGCGCACTGGCTGAGCGCCCTCAGAACCATAGGGCTGGGCCCTCTCAGGCAACGGCGCCTTCGGGGGCCCCTGCCTGCACCAACTTGGCCTTGCTGTCCCGAGCACGAGTCCGAACATCAGGCACCGCTGTGGGCATCTCCACCGAGGGGCCCGCCTGCGGCCGTGGCGCCTGGGCGGTGCCCTGCCCAGGGCCGGAGGCTGCCGCTGCCTCACCTGCCGACCCGCTCGCGGTGCCATCCTCGGTCTTGCGCTTCTTCGTGAGCCTGGGGCACAGGGCAGCGTGCTCGGCTTTGAGCTTCTCGAAGTGCTCCTTTGCCTGTGCGAAGAGCGATTTTGCATTGTCTGTAATGAGTGCCTCCAGCTGCTGCTTGCGCTGCTGGAGCTCCTGCTTGTCCGAGTCTGACAGCTCATGCCCCTCGTCACCCACCTCGAACAGGTTCCCACAGTCGATCCTGAAAGAGCCGTCCAGGAGCGAGTCCAAGCGCGCACCAGCAGACGCGGCAGCCTCGGCGTCGGCTGCCTGCTGGGAGTGCTCGGTGAGCCTGAGTTTGAAGCCTGCAATCTGAGCGTCGTAGGAGTCCAGCTCGTCGCTGAGATCTTGGATCTTCTGCCTCTGCCGAGCCATACTCTTTTCCCACTTGTCAACCAGGTCGAGTTCTTTCTCCATCCGCTTGACATGGGCGTCTCTCTCTTCAACCAACCTGTGCAAATGCTTCTCGGGCGGGAGCGCGGCAGGGGCAGTAGCAAGACGATCCAGCTCCAAGAGGCGGAGCTTGCACTGGCTGGAGACCATCGCGAGGCCGTGCTTCTCGGCCAAGGCTGCCAGCTGCTGGACCTCCTCACGCTGCATCTGCTTGACATTGAAAGCCATGGGGTCTGAGCCATTGGCAAACTGGGGGCCAGAGCGAAGAGGCTGACGCGTCTCCCCATGCTGACCCTTGCCTCCCTCGGCCCTGCCCCCCTTGGGAGCTCCCTTGCCCCCCGCCTTTCCATCCGCTGCCACTCGTCCGTTGCGCCAGCGCCCTGGCTTCGGAGCTGCCCGAGGCTCGGCGGGGACCGCAGGCTGCTCAACCCAGGGCTCTCGGGCGTGGAGGGAGGCGCCGCGCTGGAAGCAGTTGTTCGCCGTCCGCCTGTTCTTACCACATCCGCATGTCCAACGCTTGAGGAACTCAGGCTTTGCCGCGGCCAGCTTCCAATCGTCGGCAGCAGCAGTGCGAGAAAGAACCCAAGGGGCATGCTGTTTGGTCATTCGAGGCTGCACACCTCGGAAAGTATGTGTACGTGAAGCGAAGAGCCTCCAGCCTGGGCAGGCTGAGGAGGAGGCTCGGAGCAGTCGGGGGCCGCCCCTCCCCCACGCCAAAATGCCAAGTCTGAGCACAACCGCTACGGACTTGAGCCAAAATGGCGACGGAGGAAAAGGAGGAGGAGGAGGAGGATGAGGAGGAGGAGGAGGAGGAGGAGGACGAGGAGGGTGATGAGGAGGAGGATGGAGGATGATGGCGGGTGAGCATCGATGCTGATGACAACGATGATTCTGATGATGCTGATGAGGACGTCGATGAATATGACGCTGGTGATGATACTGGGCTGCATGTTGATGATGACGGAGATGATGATGATGTTGATGTTGTTGATGATGATGATGATGATGATGATGATATGATCGCCGACGCAGGAGGATCCCCCCCCCAATGCCCAAAGTAAAAAAATCGGCCCTGGGACCCACCCAACGGTGTGCTCGGGCCAGAATCTCGAAGGGGACCCAGCCGTGCCGTGCTGGTCTTGCTGTGCCGTGCTGGTCTTTCTGTGCCGTGCTGGTCTTGCTGTGCCGTGCTGGTCTTGCTGTGCCGTGCTGGTATTGCTGTGACGTGCTGGTCTTGCCGTGCCGTGCTGGTCTTGCCGTGCCGTGCTGGTCTTGCGGTGCCGTGCTGGTCTTGCTGTGCCGTGCTGGTCTTTCTGTGCCGTGCTGGTCTTGCTGTGCCGTGCTGGTCTTGCTGTGCCGTGCTGGTCTTGCTGTGACGTGCTGGTCTTGCCGTGCCGTGCTGGTCTTGCCGTGCCGTGCTGGTCTTGCTGTGCCGTGCTGGTCTTGCCATGCCGTGCTGGTCTTGCCGTGCCGTGCTGGTCTGGCCGTGCCGTGCTGGTCTCGCTGTGCCGTGCTGGTCTTGCCGTGCCGTGCTGGTCTTGCTGTGCCGCGCTGGTCTTGCTGTGCCGTGCTGGTCTTCTTCTAGCATTGGGTTTTAGCAGTGGAATTCAGCATTGGAATTTAGCATTGGATTTTAGCATTGGACTTTAGCATTGGCTTTTAGCATTGGCATTTAGCATTGGTTTGTAACGTTGGCTTTTAGCATTGCTTTTTAGCATTGGATTGTAGCATTGGATTTTAGCACTGGCTTTTAGCATTGGCTTTTAGCATTGGCTTTGAGCATTGGGTTTTCGCTTTGGATTTTAGCATTGGCTTTTAGCACTGGCTTTTAGCATTGGATTGTAGCATTGGCTTTTAGCATTGGCTTGTAGCATTGGGTTTAACTTTGCTGTGCCGTGCACCGTGCGCTCCATCGAGAACGCAACTGTGCAGCTACTGCTGTGCACTTGCGACTTTAGCACTACACACTTACGGTTAACCGTGCCGCCGGCGGGGAGCCGGCAGCAGCAGTGGCAGCGGCAGCGGCGGCGGCAACCGCCGCCAGCCAGGGCGGCGGCGGCCAGGCGCCAGCGGGAGCCGAGCTGGGCCGGCCGCCGCCGCCGCCAGCCGCCGCCGCCGCCGCCTCCCGCGCGCCGGCCTCCAAGGGGGAGGCGGCGGCGGCGGCAGGCGGAAGACCCGGCGGCCCGTCTCGGGCGGCGGCGGCCAAGCGCTGCCGCCGCCGCAGGGCGGCGCTCGAGGGGCCGCCGCCGCCGGAAGCCATCGCGACGGAGCGGGCCCGGCGCGAACCTGGACCAGGGGCGGGCTTGAGCCGGGGGGCTTGAGCCAGGCTGGAGCCAGGGGGGCTACGGGCTGGTGGGGACACGTGAAGCATCAAGAACTCACAATGTAATCGCTCATGTCTTGGGGTCCACGCTGGCTGACATTTTTCGTGTAATGCAAAATTTAAAGTTCTCCCCCGTATTAGGCTTCCAGCGCTCCGAAACGGCTCAACAATCTGCCAAAATTGCCCCCAAGACGGCTCAAGAAGCCCCCCAAAGAGCCCTCAAACGGCCTTAAAAGGCGCCGCGACGGCTCAGGCGATCCCGAAGAAACGGGGGGCCCCAGGAGGGGGGATCCAAACTGGCCTCTGGAGCCTGTCCTCCAAAGATGGCCCCCGAGACCGCCAGCAGGCCCTTGAGAGGCCCCAGCGCGGCACACAGAGGCACCCAAAAAGGCCCAAACCTTCCTTTCGATTCGCACCCCTTTCACATATTGGTTACTTGGCCGAGAAATGATCACCCAGCATGTCACTCGGCCGGTCTGTCAGTCGACGCATCCACGTTGGCATCTCCTCTTCATCGCTGATGGATCGACCGATCACGCCGCGCACAGTCGCCTTACAACATAGAACAACTACAAGAATGGAGTGCTGGCGCCTTTCAACATAGGGCTATCGCAGTTGAGCACTTGCAGCAAATACGAAGATGGAGGGGGCTGTGGTTTTCAAAATGGGACCCGCACCTTCTCACCGCGCGCACTCGTCTTGAAAGCTTGCAGCAGCTACAAGGATGGAGGACAAGTTCTTAAAACGCTCCTCTGGATTGAAGTTTCCTGACAATCAGTGGCCCGAAATTCCAAACTGTGCAACAGCTTCACGGGAGGAGGATGGCTCCTCTTCAACATGAGACTCTCGCTTGAAAATTCCACACATCGGCTTACCAGAAATTGTAATGAGCAGTCCCTATACAGATGGAGGGCAGGCCCTCTTCAAAACGTTGCTATCGCTACACCGTTTTCTTTTGGCTGGGCGAGTGTTGGGTGGATCTTTTAGCGCACGGAGTCTCGCCTGAATGGCACGCCTGCAATCGACTCGACTACTTGTGGGGACTTGTGGAGGGGGGGCTTGGAAGGGAGGGTGTATTGTAAGATTGTTGATGCGTCTTGGGTTCACCCTGTTCCGCCCTCCGCATCCTCTCCTTCCTTCTCCTCCACTTCCTCCACCTCCTCCCCACTCCCCCTTCTCCTTGGGCTGTAGTGTTCATTTGTGCTGCCCCCCCCACCCCTGGCTGAGGCCCTGAGCGGGCATTCCGCGGACAACCGATCCGATCCGATCCCCCTTCTCCTCCTCCGTCCTCCTCCCTTCATAGTCCTGCACGACAGGGCCTCTGTTAATTGAAGGCACGGAACCACGGATTCGCGCATCAATGTTCCAGTCGGCGAAAGGAAGGGGAGGGCCACGATTGAACAGAGAAAAACAGGTTGGCGAGATATGCTGCGGCTGGTACCAACCATAAAGCAAACGAAGATGCGGTTACGCGACCGTTGAGGCCAGGGGGCGGTCGCCTCCTCCTCTGCCTCCTCCTCCTCCTCCTCCTCCTCCTCCTCTTCTCTTGCACGCTTCCACACTTAACCTCGGACACAGGAGGAAGACGACGACGAGAAGGACGAGGTGAAGGAAGAGGAAGGACGAGGTGAAGGAAGAGTAAGACTCCAGCGCGCGGGGGTCGCTGGGCGCCGCGCGCGTAGAATGATATGACCGAGATGTCCGACTCCGCGGTGTAGGTGATGCTGTCGCACGAATCCTCGAAGAGATAGATGCCCTTTGGGATCCTGGCGCGCAGGTCCTTCCAGTCTATTTTGCTGCCAGCCAGATTGGGGATGAAGACGCACTTAGTTTTTGGCGTGATCCTCTTGAGGATCTCGTCTACTTCGGGAACGTACCTGTCGGGCGTCACGTCGCAGAATACCGGCTTGAGGCCAAGCTGCTCGATCGGCGCCACCGCCGTGGAAAACGTGCAAGCAGGGGTCACAATCTCGTCGCCTTTCTCGAGGCCGAGGCATGCCAGCCCAATCATGTTACCTGAGCTGCCAGAGTTCACCATGATGCCGTACTTCTTGCCGAAGATGGCCGCGACCTTCTGCTCGAATAACTCGGTCCGGGGCCCCGGCGCCAGCCAGCCATCCCGCAGGGAAGCCTCTACCGCCTGGATCTCCTCTTCGCCGTATGCCTCGAACTTGTACGGCGCATACCAAATCTTCTTGTGATGTGCCTTTGCCGCCACCGGGCCCTGCTGCGGCCGGGTGCCCGCTGGCCCCCCTCCGCCAGTCTGCGCGACGTGCCCGGTCACGACCTTGAGGCGCTGCATGGGCAATGGCGGCTGTTGGTGCACGCGCGCTGCGAGGAGCCGCTCGGCTGCCGGGAACTGACACGTCTGGGCAGAGAGCGGCGTCGGCGACAGCGGCAGTGTGGTGGTGGCGAGGACATCCAGGGCGGCGAGACTAAGCGTCATGCCACCAACAATCACGTCTTTTCCTCGCCTGGGGACACGAAAGGCCACACGTACCGGCCTCCCGTGTCGAATAGTCGCCACCCAGAACGGTAGACTTGCACATTGGCGGGACTTGCCGCAGGCGGCAGGATCATCTCCTGCACGAAACTCAAAATACTTCTACACCCCCTGGGGGTCCCCAGGGGAGAAATACCGCGGCAGTGCATCGGCAAAGTCACGACAGGGATGCCAGAACTCCTGGGCGCTGGCTCCAGGACCCTCACTACAGAGCAGCCACAGGAGTGCCCCAAGGGATCTCCACGGCGGTCCAAGAGGTCTTCAGATGGCCCACGAAGCCTCCAAGTCTGCCGATTAGCCCCCAGGACGCCCTAAGAGGGCCCTAACAGGACCCACAGGGCCCCCGGAGGCAGAACCATTGATTCTCGCAGAAGCATATGCAAGTATGTTGGATCTGTTGGGGGGCTATCTTCTGGCAGCCTTAGATGGCCCAAGAGGCCCCCACGGTCGCCTCAGAACTCAAGACTGCACAAGAGGCCCCCAGAGAGTCCCAAGACGACCCTCAAGGGCACGACGCTCCAAGAACCTCCCGAAACAGCCCCAAGAAGGGGATGGCGAACACTCGGAGACCATCTGCAAGCCCCAGGAGTCCTTCATAGGCCCCCGAGGCGCCCCGGGAAGCCACCAAGAGGCGCCCCAGACGCCTCAGAGATGGCCCCGAACAAGCGACCAATGAGCCCGCCGGAATCCGCCAGTCCAACGGTCCAGCGGCGTGATGTGAGACTTTGATAGGGTACTCCCATGGGGAATCTGCTCGATGAAGGTTGCCATCACTCTTCACAGAAACTGCTTCTCCCCCAAGACAGTTCACGCAACGCACCTGGGAAATTACCGCCGCCCAGCGGTGCCCAAATCGCAACGAACACTCTGGCAAGTGCTACCGATGCGACTACATGGGCCCGCGAAGAACGTGACAACCTAATTCGGCGGGCCCCATGCGGACCCCAGCCATGTTGGGCCGCGAGAGTAGATGATGAGATGGGGATGACGGAGGAAGAATGAGAAGCATGCATGATTGCATGCTGCGAGCGGCTCCGCACACTCCGCCAGCAAGGTGATGCTGAATCATATCAGGTTCAGCGCGCATACCCTCCACAATGGCAGTTTCGTTTGAGACATCCTCACGACATGGAGGTTTCGTTAGAGACATCCTCGATTCATTCTGCGTCGGAAGAGGTTGTGAGATAATCTAAAAACATTGCTGTCTCGCTCGGGATATCCTCTACAAATCAGATTCGGAGGCGATTTTGCATAGCAGGGAACACCTGTTTCGCTCGAGAGGTTGCGAGGAGCCACCTCTCACGCACTTCGCGACCCATGGACCCCCAAAAGCCCTCTGTTGACTCCCAGGGCCGCCTGCCCCCCAAGGGACGCCAAGATGACCCTTGGAAAAACTGAAACGGTGGTTCCAACCCTCGTCAATAACATATCCCGAGCATCTACTGATTGCATAATCAGCGTGCAAATTTCTCCTGGGGTCCCGCCGTGTCTCCCCCTCTGCGGGCTCAATTTCGCGGCTCCCTGCGGGCCCCAGCCTTAACCTTCGAAGTAGATGATGGCATGGAAGATGCTGGAGGAGAATCAGATGCACGTGTCAAATCGTGCTGGGAGCGGCCTCACACATTCCGCCAACTAATTTCCTGAACCCGCCTGGGATACGTAAAAATACTAGTGATGTGTGATCTCGCACAGTTCCTGCGCCCCCAGGCCTCTGAGACGCGTAAACTGCGATGGATTCGCTGCTATTTTCCCTATGAGCCTCAATCCGGCAATCCCTTGAGGCGTCAATTCGGCGCACCACATACTAATTCCGTGCCCCATAGACCTCGAGGAAAGATCCGCTGGCCTTCAAGACGGCTGATTGGAGCCTCAAGGCGGCACACCCCTCAAACACTTCGCGCCCCGTAAACTTCCAGTGGTCCTCAAGTGACCCCTCGGAAGGACCAAGGGAGCTTCGCTTCGGCACAACCCTCACGCACTTCGTGAGGTAGATCATGGCCGTCTGCTCTCCAAAGGCATGCTAAGATGCATCTGAGAAAACATACCTGCACGACCACCCGTCGGGTGAGAAAGAACCAACTGCTGGTAAATGCGATGGGTGTGATGATGACGATGCTGGTGACGCGCCCTCGAGTCAGCGACGACGCGTGAAGACGATATTGCGCTGCGATGTAATGCTACTGTCGTCCCCGCTTTCGACCTCACTCGGCCGATGCCACTATCGACCTCACATGATCGATCATTCTCGATCGATCTCACTATAACTCTCACTGTGGATCTCACTGTAGATCTCACTCTAGATCTCGTGTTCGATCTAACTATCGATCTCACTATAGATTTCTCGATCGATAGCACGATCGATCTAACTATCGATCTCACAATAATGCCGAAGTCAACCTCACTGTCAATATCACATTTGATATCACTATCCATCCGATTCTAGCGATCCCACTCTCGATCTCACTATCGGCTTCACTGTCGATACCAAATTTGGACACTCCTGGTCACCGCCCGTCCACGGCCGACGGAACACCGACAGGATTATAACGGGCCACAGGACACCACGGCGGGACACCCCGGGACACCGCGCGCCCACCGGGGGCGGAGGGGCGGTTCACTTCATCCGAATCGCCCTAGCGACGGCGGGGTCATTCCTCTCACGCGCCCACGCAGCTTCGCCTCGCCCGCACGAACGAGACGAACACGAAACTGAAACCGATTTCATGATGGGGGGCTCTCCGTTCCACTGCGATCTCACCCCCCATGCTCCGACTACGAGGGGTACCGGCCCTCGTCGAAGTAAATCCCAGAACGCCCTCGGATTGCAAAGTCTGCATGCGAGGTTCCCCTGGGGAGCCGCCGTGGCTCCCTTTCTGCGGGCTCAATATATTCGCTTGGCAAGATCGGAATGCCTTTTCCAGATCTCGTTGGTGCATCTCGAGGATCTGTCGGCAAATTAGTCAGTTCCAGATGTGTCCGATTGCACGGGTGTAGCACAAGCTTGCATTAGCCGCCCACTAGCAGCGGTTGCCTAGCAGCGATATTCCCCAACGGAGCGAAGATGTTGGAACGACTACGGAAAGGCAAGGAGGCAGAAGGAACGCATGCGCACCACGGCCAGCATGTCCCTCAGCCCAGCATGCGCGGGAGCGACTCAGGGGAACCAGATCCTTTAAACCTTGCTGGCTTGGGCGCGAAGACGCCGCGCGAAGGCAGCGCGCAACAGCGTGGCGGCCTGGCCCGAAGGCGGTCTCGGCTGGCTCACGCGCCGCAGGAGGCGCACCTCGAGGCTAGCGAGTCCTTCGCAGCAGCACCTCGCTGCGGCTGAATTAGTGCGGACTCACGCGCTGCGGGCAGTTCACCTCCAGCACCCTTCGTCCATGGCAGCAGCTCCTCGAGGTTTCTCCTGTAAAGCTTGGTGTCAGGGTGGTGCGGGCCCAGCGTGGCCTCTGCGACCTCCAGAGCGTGCCTGTACAGCGGCTCGGCCTGCGAATACTGCCCAATCGACTCCAGCAAGTACGCCAGGTTGTTCAAGCAGCCCAGGGTGTCTGGGTGGACCGCCCCGAGTACCTCCTGCGACACCTCCACAGCCTTCTCGAACAACTTCATTGCTTCCGCCTTGTTGCCGAGGGCCTGCAGCGTGCGTGCCAGGTTGGTGAGGGACTCCAGTGTGTCTGGATGCTTTGGTCCGAATCTCGCCTCGCGCCTGCGCAGGGCCTCCCTGTGCAGCGGCTCGGCCTCCGAGTGGCGCCTGTCGGCCACGAGCAGGTTGGCGAGGTTGTTTCTGGCGCCGAGTGTCTGCGCGTGTGAGGGGCCCAAGGCCTTCTCGGCGCCCAGCAGGCACCGCCGCAGAAGGGGCTCGGCTTCCTGGTGGCGGCCAGCTGTCAGCAGCAGGCTCGCCAGGTTGTTGATCGAGGATAGCGTGTCGGGGTGCTCACCGCCCAGCGCCTCCTCCCGACGGGACAGCGCCCGGCGGTGCAGCTGCTCTGCCTCGTCCAGGGACCCGAGCCTCTGAAGCAGCACCGCCAGGTCGTTGACCGAGCCCAGCGTCTGCGGGTGTGAGGGTCCGAGGGTCGTCTCCCTCGCGTCCAGGGTACTGCGCAGCATGGGCTCCGCCTCGGACGATTTGCCACTCCTCTGGAGGATGCTCGCCACGGCGGTGATTGAGGAGAGTGTGTCGGGGTGCGCCGTTCCTAGAGTCTCCTCCCGACCCCTGAGGGTCTGCCAGTGGAGCTTCTCGGCCTCTGTGCTCTTGCCGAGCACGACCAACACTCCTGCCAAGCCGAACGTTGAAGACAGAGTATCCGGATGCAGCGGCCCCAGCGCTTCCTCGCGGCCCTTCGCCGCGCGCCGAAGCAGCGGCTCCGCCTCCTCGGGACGGTCGTGCGCTCGCAACAGCCGCGCGAGGGAACTGACCGATGCTAGCGTCTGCGGGTGACCAGCCCCCAATGTCGCCTCGCGAACCTCCAGGGCGCGCCGGGCAAACTCCTCTGCCTCGACCCACTTGCCCTCCGCCTGCAGCATGGTAGCGAGGGCATCCATAGAGAAGAGCGTGGCCGTGTGCTGCGGCCCGAGGGACTCCCCGAGCCCGTCAAGCATTCGCCTGTGCAGGGGCGCGGTCTCAGCCTGGCGCCCTGTGGCGGTCAGCAACGCGATGAGGTCCTGCGCGGTGGCCGTCGCGTCGGGATGCGCGTTGCCGAGGGTCTTCTGCTGTGCCTCGAGGACCTGTCGGAGCATCGCCTCGGCCTCGGCGTGCCGCCGCATCGACTGCAGCAGCAGGGCCAGCTGGCGCCGCGCGGCAAGCGCATCTGGATGCCGCCAGCCCAGCAGGGCCTCATGGATCTCGACAGCGTGCCTGAGCAGCGCCTCGACCTCCGAGTACTTCTTCATGCCCAGCGAGGACTCGATGAGGGTGTTCAGCAGCCGCAACGTCTCTGGGTGGTTGGGCCCAAAGGCGGCCTCTGTGTACTCCAGGGCGCGCCATTGCAGCGAGACGGCCTCGGGGCGGTGGCCGAGCGAGGACGCCAGGTGGCCCAGGCTTCTCATTGACTCCAGAGTTTCGAGGTGCGTGGGCCCCAAGACCGCCTCCCTGCCCTCCAGCGCGCGCCGGTGCAGGGGCTCTGCCTCCGCCGACCGGCCCAGCATAGACAGCAGCTCCGCGAGCTCGGTGGCGGAGGCCAACGTGCGAAGGTGTGAGTCCCCAAACACCTCCTCGATCCCCTGCAAGCAGCTCCGCAGCAACGGCTCTCTGTCCCCATGCCGGCCCAGCGAGCGCAGAAGCGCGGAGAGCTCCTCGGAGGCCCGCAGGCAGTCTGGGTGCCTCGCACCCAACGTCGCCCTGTGGCCCTCCAGGACTCTCCGCAGCAGCGGCTCGGCCTCGGCGTGCCGGCCCACGTCGCGCAAGACTCCTGCTAGGAGCCGCTGCGAGGCCAACACGTCGGGGTGCGTGGGGCCCCAGATGGCCTCGTTCTGCGGTGTTCCCAGACTGCCAAGGCAGCATCATCCCCGTTCAGCTGGCCGAAAACCGCCCCCCCCTTCCCGTCAGCATCCCCTCCCTCCCGTCCGCCCCCCCCCCCCCCTTCACGCTCCAACACCCTTCATGCAGACCCTCCTTGCCCATCCCCCCACCGCCCCTCGCGCATCCACACACCCCACTCAAATACTCCCAAAGCACGACCCCCGCCCCCCCCCCCCCCCCCCAAACACCCACCCTTCGCTACCACCCCTCTCTGCCCAAACACCCCTGGCCAACACCTCTCTTACACCCCACTTTACCCCGACACCCCTCACTAACACCCGTATTGGCAACCTCTCTCTGTTTACACACTCCTGGCCAACACCTCTCTCTTACGCCCCACTGTTCCCCGACACCCCTCGCTGACACCCTCATCGACCACCCCTCTCTGTCCCAACACCTCTCTCTTACACCCCGCTCTACCCCGACACCCCTCGCTAAAGACCCAATCGACCACCCCTCTCCGAACAGCGAAGCCCCCCCGTCCCCCTCAGAACATCTTCTCTACTACTCCAACACGGCCATCTTGGACCCATCAGGGGCCGCATCGGGCCGTCCTGGAGCGCTGGAGGCCCTGGCTGCGTGAACGATTTTGTCCACGCAGCGGCGCCGCACGCGTGAACCACCGGGGTGCTCAGCGGCGATCGAGGCCATCTGGGAGCCGACTTCGGGCCATGTGGGCCCATTTGGGAGCCTTCCAGGGCCATCTTGAAGCCATCTTTGGCCGTATCGGGCCCTCTTGGAGCGCTGGAGGCCAGGGCTGCGTGGATGATGTTGTCCACACAGCGGCGCCGTATGCGAGAGCCTGGGCTCTTGGAGGCATCGGGGGCCGCCTCGGAGCCGTTTGGGGGCCATGTGGGCCCGTCGTGGAGCTCTCCAGGGCAATCTTGGACCCATCAGGGGCCGCATCGGGCCGTCCTGGAGCGCTGGAGGCCCTGGCTGCGTGGACGGTCGTTTCCACGCAGCGGCGGCGCATGCGATCCCCTGGGCTCTTGGAGACCTCTGGGGCAGTCTCGGAATCATGTTGGGGACATCTGGGCCCGTCTTGGAGCTTCCCTGCGTCTCTTGGAGCCTCCCTGGGCATCTGGAGCCCCCATGGGCCGCATCGGGCCGTCTTGTTGCGCCGAAAGCCAGGGCTACATGAGCGATTTTGTCCACGCTGAGGCGTCGCATGTGTGACTTCGGGTACTGCGCCGCATGCGTGAATAGGGGCACTTAAAAGCAATCGGGGCCAAATGAGAGCCGCATTGGGGTCATGTCGGCCAGTCTAGGAGCCCTCCAGGGCCATCTTGGATCCGTAAGGGGCCGCATTGGGTCCTTTTGGAGCTCTAGAGACCTGGGCTGCGTGCAGGACTTTGTCCACGCAGCGGCGCCGCATGCGTGAATCGGGGCACTTGGAAGCAATTGGGGCCATCTGGGAGCCAGCTTGGGGCCATGTGGGCCCGTCTTGGAGCCCTCCAGGGCCATCTTGGAACCCTCAGGAGCGGCATCGGGCAATTTCTTGGAGCGCTGGAGGCCCTGGCTCCGTGGACGATTTTGACCATATAGCGGTGTCCCGTGCGTGAGCCTGGGCTCTTGGAGGCAACCGGGGCCGTCTCGGAGCCGGTGGAACCATCTGGGCCTGTCTTGGCGCCCTCCAGGGCCGTCTTGGATCCATCCATCTATCGAGTTGTCATGGTTCCAAAGTGGCGGCGGGAGCCCACCAGGAGGAGAGGGAGGGGCCCTTGGAGGAGGTTTGGGGGAGGTGTGGGTGGGCCTGTGGGGGGGATAGTAGATGGGTCCCAAGTGTATCTTTTACCGCGGGGTCCCCGGGAGGGGTGTTTGGGACCCATAGGGGCCTCAGGGAGGGGTCTTGGGATGGGAGGGGAGCCAATGTGGGTCTGATGGAGGGGTCCTGGGGAGGATTTAGGAGGCGTTGAGGGTCTTGCGGCGGGATCCCTGGGAGTTTTGTTGGTGACCCATGGGGGTTCTCAGGGAAAGGTCTTGGGGGAGGTGGTTGGACCCTTGTGGGTTTGATGGAGGGGTCCTGGGAAGGTGTGTTGGAGCACATTGGAGCCCGTGGGTGTCTTGCAGCGGGGTCCTGTGGAGAGGTGTTGGGGACCCATGTGGGTCTGAGGGAGGGGTCTTGGGGGGAGGGGGGTTGGACCCATGTGGGTCTCATGGATGGGTCCTTGAGGGGGGGTGCTTGGACCCGTGGGGGTCTTGCGGCGGGGTCCTGGAGAGGGGTGCTGGCGGCGTGTGCGCGTTGGGGAGGGGGTTGGTAAGGGGTCGTCGGGAGGTGTCCGCTGGAGGGGTGATGTGGCCGACGAGCGAATCACTACGTTAGCAATGGGGACATCGCGGGCCTCGTTGCCCTGCAAGAGGCGCCTGCACATGGCCTCCGCCTCGGCCGCCCTGCCGCCCGCGATGAGCAAGCACGCGGACTCGCGCAGCAGCGTCAGGGTGTCTGGGTGCGTCGGCCCCATGGAGCCCTCCGAGCCCTCGACCACCCTCTTGTACAGAAGATGCGCCTCCTCGAGATGCCCTCTGGACCACAGCAGCCGGCCCAATCTGCGCGCCGCGCCAAGCGACAGGGCGTGGCCTGGCCCCAGCGAGGACTCCAAGGCCGACAGCGCGCGCCGGCGCAGGGACAGCAGCTCCTCGGAGCAGCCGGGCACCACCTCGCAGAGAGCCTCCAGCGCGGCCACAGCGGCGGCCGAGCTATCGCCGAAGGCCTGGCAGGCCCCGTCCAGCGCCCGCCTGCGAAGCGGCTCCACCTCCGCGCGCCTGCCGAGCAGCGCCAGCGCGGACGCCAGCTTCTCGAGGGACGCGAGCGTGTCCGGATGGGTCGGCCCTAGCACCTGGACGCGGCCATCTAATGCGCGGCGGTACAGCGCCTCGGCCTCCGAGATGCGCCCCATGGCCATCTGAAGGTCGGCGTGGTGGCTCATCGAGGTCAGGGAGTCGGGGTGGGTAGGGCCAAGCGACTGCTCGACGCTCTGGAGCGCGCGCTTATGGAGAGGCTCGGCCTCGGAGTGACGGCCCATCCCAATCAGCAGCCCGGCCAGGATATCCAGCGCGGCCAGCGTCTCGGGGTGCACGGGCCCGAAAGCCAACTCGCGGCTCTCCAGCTCGCAGCGGCTCAGCGGCTCGGCCTCCTCGTTGCGGCCAACCGACACCAAGAGCTCGACGAGGTCGCGGAACGACCCGAGCGTGTCCGGGTGCGTCGGGCCCAGGGTCGTCTGCCTGCCTTCCAGCGCGCGCCGGAGCAGCGGCTCCGCTTCCGCGGCGCGCCCCAGCTGCAGCAACAGTGCGCCCAGCCTGCTGACGCACTCCAGCGTCTGCGGGTGCGAGACGCCAAGGGTCGCCTCCTTGCCCTGCAGCGCCTTCCGCTGAAGCGGTTCGCTTTCCTGCAGGCGCCTGGGCGTCGCCGAGAGAGCACCGAGGGTCGCCAGCGTGTCTGGGTGGCTGGTGCCCAGCGCGGCCTCCTGCCTCTGCAGGATGCGCTCCAGGATCTTCTCCGCGTCCCTCTGGCGCCCCGTGGCGCGGAGAAGGCTGGCCATGCTGCCCAGGCAGGCGAGCGTGTCCGGGTGCCCGGGCCCCAGCATCTCCTCCCTCGCAGCCAGCACCCGCTTGAGGAGCGGCTCGACCTCGGCCAGACGCCCCACCGTCCACAGCAGCTCTGCCAGGCTGCCCACCGCCGCCAGCGTCCACGGGTGCTTCGGGCCCAGCAGCGACTCGCGCCCGAGTAGCAGCCGTCGGAGGCAGGGCTCCGCCTCCGCGCGGCACCCCATGGTCTTCAGCGCCTCCGCCAGGGACTCGAGGCAGGCGAGCGTGTCGCGGTGCTGGGGCCCCAGCCGCGTCTCTGCTCCCTCTAAGAAGCGCTCATACAGGGGCTCTGCCTCTGCGTGCCGCCCGGCGGCCTTGAGCAGGTCCGCCAGGCTCTTCCTCGAAGCGAACGTGTCGGTGTGGCCAGGTCCCAGCGTGGCCTCGCGGCCCTGCAGCGCCTTGGTGCAGAGCGCCTCGGCATCGCCCAGGCGCCCCAGCGCCAAGACAAGCTCGGCGTACGACGCAGTCGCACTGAGGGTCTCGGGGTGCCTGGGGCCGAGCGATTTCTCTAGGCCCTCGAGCGCTCGGCGGCACAGCGGCTCCGCCTGCGCGAGATCTCCAGTCTGCATGACGAGGGAGGCCAGGGTACGGAGCGCGCTCTGGGTGTCGGGATGGTCTGCCCCGAAGACACGCTCGGAGTCGGCCAGCACGCGCCTGCAGAGGGGCTCGGCCTCGCTGTGCCGCCCGCTCGCCAGCAGCGCGCCCCCCAGCTCGCGCCGAGCCGCGAGGGAATCGGGGTGGTCCTCGCCGTGGAGGGTCTTCGCGTGCTCAAACGCCTGCCTGAGCAGCGCCTCCGCGCCGGCAAAGTCGCCCGCGGCGAGCTGCGCGCGGGACACCTGGCGCAGGGTTGCCAGCGTGTCGGGGTGCGTGGCTCCCAGCTTCGCGCCGCGCTCCCGAAAGACGCGCTGGTGCACGGTCAAGGCCTCCCGAGCGCTTCCCGTCAGCTCGAGCAGGTCGGCCAAGCGGCTGGCCTCCGCCAGCGCGCACGGGTGGTGCTCGCCCAGCGCCCGCTCCTGGCTCTCCAGGACCTCTCTCTGCAGCGTCTTTGCCTCGGCGGTCTGGCCGAGCGTCCCCAGGAGCTCCGCGAGCCGGCCTCGCAACCTCAGCGTGCGCGGGTGGGACGGCCCCAGGGACTGCTCCAGCCGGGGGAGCGCAGGGCGCAGCAGCTGCTCCTCGTCCGCGTGGCGCGCCCCGCTTCGCAGCAGGTCCGCCAGTGCGTCCATGGAGCCCAAGGCGTCTGGGTGAGCCACGCCGAGCGTCTCCTCCTGGCCTGCCAAAGCCTCGCGGAGCAGGGGTTCGGCCTCCTCCTTGCGCCCATCGGCTTGCAGCAGGCTCGCCAGCTCGCTGACTGTGGCCAGCGTCTCGGGGTGGCGCTTCCCCAGCGTCGCCTCCTGGACCCTGGCCAGCTGCCGTAGGGGTGCCTCCATCTCCGCTCGGCGGCCCATTGCCTTCAGCGTCGCCACCAGCGAACGCAGGGAGCCCTGCGCGTCCGGGTGCTGCGGCCCGAGCGCCGCGGCGCGGCCTTCGGCTGCGGCAAGGCTGAGCGCCTGGGCCTCCTCGTGCTGGCCCAGAGAGGTGAGCAGGTCGGCCAGCTTTTGCGTGGAGGCCAGCGTCTCCGGGTGCGCGGGGCCGAGGGTGGCCTCGTAGTGGGCTAGTCGCCTGCGGGCAACCTGCAGCCTGCTGGCTCGCGCGCACTCCCCGGCGGACCTTCTGTCGCCCTGCTCGTCGAATTGCACCACGCAAATGTCCCGGTCGCGGAACTGCTGCCGGCCCCGCCGATTGCGCCCAGGCTTGAGAACGCCCAGCTCCTCCAGCTCTGGGGTGACGCGCTCCCAGAGGGGGTAGGCCATCTTGGCGGGGACCAAGATCGCCACGCAAAAATCAGCCTTCCCTTTCAGCTCCGGGTCGCTCAGGACGGCGGAGCAGATGGCCTCATTCTGCTTGTCCTTCGGGCCGGTGTCCTTCCCCTCGTCGTCCCTGCCGGGCCAGTAGTTGTTCAGCAGCACCGCGCTCTTGGACCCGAAGTCCGACGGCTCCCTGCTCGTGGCCAGCAGGCCGCGGCCAAACTCTCCGTCCCTGGCCCCCAGCGCCACGAGCGCCTCCGGGCCGCTCTCCACGTCGGTGACGAGAGCCGCGAAGCCTGGACGGTCTGTGTAGACGAAGAGCGTCATGAACTGGCCCCGTGGCCTCAGGTCGCGCAAGTCGAACACCTCGGTCCAGACCCGCATGCCGGACTCTACATGCTCGTGGACCCACACCCCGAGGTCCGGCTCGAAGGCCCTCGCGTAGTCCCGGCCTTTGTACAGCTTGCCCTTGCCGTAAGTGTTCTGGAAATGACCCCGCAGCGACTCCGCCTCCAGGGCCCTGCGGCGCTCCGCGGCGGCCTCCTCCTCTGCCTGACGACGCTCTGCCGCCCGCTCCTCCGGGCTGGGGACGCTCACCTGGAGCTCCCCCGCTCCGTTGTCGCTGTCCTCGGTGCTCTCGAACCCCGCCCCGCCGTCACCGCAACCCCCGATCTGGCTGCACCGCAACCACATCGTGGCCGCGCGAGCGCCGCGGACACCCAACCAGCGCCGCCCGGGCGGGCCCCTGAGCCGAATGCTACGCAACGTAGCGCGGACCCCCGCCTGCAACCATGACGATCGCAATCGGGACGGCGTGAAGAAGCGGTTAGTCGGTTAGTCCTCGTCCAACTATCGAGTCGATGTTTGAACAAGACGACGCCGCAACACGCTTTTGTTACAAAAAGGCCAACAATGCAATGCCAGAAAAGGTATTCGAAAACATTCAGTGGGCCGGGAATCCAGACAAAACAAACTCTGCCTGGCTATCGCAGAGGGGGTAGGGCAAGGAGAGAAGGGAGGGTAGCGGCAGGGATGTGACTCCACTGAGCGAGGTGCTAGTTGACGGCCCAGTGAAGGTTAATGGGCGGCATGGGCCACCCCGAACCAAGCGATGCGCATGTCTGTAATCGCCCGCGGGGTGTCCTAGAGCCGCGAGAAGGGCAGACCCGTTACAGCTGCGTGCAACCAGGTCGCAGACAGCAACTTCACTGTGACAAGCTGCCAGAGGAAGTCGGCTGCTCTGATTATTGAGTGCTTGCATGTTTGTTTTGCTCTCGCCTACGTCCTTTATGGGTCGCACGAAAAGACGCCCGCATACATGGACCAACAGCGTATGTCTTGGCACACGCGATGGTTGATCAGCAGGGAAGATGCAGCGGGACAAAGGCACGAAATAAGAGCACCATTGGAGGACAAGACGATGACAAAACATTTTTTCGTCAGCGGCGAGGCGGCGAACTCCGCTCCAGCGAGAAGCTAGAAAGGGACACTAATTAGCGAATTGGCCAGCGGGCAAAGAGGGGGCGGGGACGCCCGAGCGGAAGAAGGTACGCTCAGACGTCGAACAGTTCGACGATGAGCAGCCGGGGGGGGGCAGCAACAGCCCGGCGCGCAGGGCCAGAGCGCGGTGGGCGGCCGTGGCAAACCACGGTGGCAAGTGGCAAAGGTGGCGGGAGGGCGGCTGCCAGCAGCTGGAGCTGGCGGGCGGGCGCAGTGGGGCACCACGAACGGCAGAGGCACCGCGGCGCCGCGGCGCGCCGAGGAGTAGGCACAGCACTGAGCCGTGCGGAGGCAGGAGCAACGCAGCCAAATGGCTGGCAGTGACAGGGGCATCGCGGCGTGACCGCCCAAGGGCGCGCCAGGTGGCTAAGGGGCCGGGAGAGGTGGGGCAGGAGGCGGCGGGCGAAGCGCCCCAGGCGTCCGCAGGCGGCGGGGCGGAACATCATCGCAACGGGAGGAGGCAGCGCGGGGCTGCCGCGGAAGGAGGGGAGCACCGAAAGGTGCAGAAACTGGTAGCAACGCAGGGCGGCCCAATGGGCGGTCCGGCGCGGTGCAGCATAGAGGCACCAAAATAATGCAGGGGACAGTGAGCGAGCGACGCGCGTCCCAAACGGGAGGAGCGCGTTTCTTTACGGGCGTCATGGGGGGGTGCGGCTCCGGCACCACAGCCGCGCCCGCGCGCACGACGACGATGAGCGACGAGCGACGAGCGACGAGCGACGACGACGACGCTGACGACGACGACGACGACGACGACGACGACGACGACGACGACGACGACGACGACGACGACGACGACGCGAGCAGCATGTAGGTGGCAATCTGCCCTACAGCGCCTGTGTACACCACAGTGCTCGCGTGCACCACGGCGCTTGTGTACACCACAACGCCTGCGTACACCGCAACAGCCGTGTGCAACGCAGCGCCTGTGTACAACACAGTGCTTGCGTGTACCACAGCGCCGGTGTACACCACAGCGAATGTGTACACCGCAGCAGCCATGTGCAACACAGCGCCTGGGTGGTTGCCGAATCGAGAGCGAAATTTGTGACATGTTCGGTGCGTAATGCCGCCCTTTGAAGGTTTCTCGGTGCGCCCTGGGGTGTGCTCGTTGTTGGAATTTCACTTCCGCGTTCATGCCCGTCATCCCCATCCCACCGGCGTGAGTCCGGGGCGATCGTCTGTTTTATATAAACTGCTGGTAGCCGTCAGGCTTGCGCACCCACACACACACACTTGAAGAGTGCCGGAGGCACGAAATCTCGGTCGTGACGTACATCGTGCCCACAATGGCGACGGCCCGAGAAGCTTACCTATTCGTGCAACATCCGTCTCTCCACTGCTCCTATGGATCCTGGCTTTTCGCATGAAACCTATTGTTTGAGAAAACACCCATCAAGAGGTACCCTACTTAGCTGGACACTGGCTTTTGCATGAAACCTATTGTTTGGGAAACCACCCTTCAATAACTGACAAGCCATGCCACACAGAATCGGGGTTAAAACTGAGCACGGAAATTCCGGGGTTAAAACTGAGGCGATGCTCTGTGTTGCTACTGGGGCCTATCCGCGGCTTCAGGCTCTGCTATGCTCGATCGTGCTTCACATGCACACACACAAAAACGCACCCCCCCTTTTTCCAGGTGTTCCGATGCCCCCCTTCTTCAACTAAGTCTTGGAATCAAAGTCTTAGTGGCTGGCGCTGCCGGCGGCCACTGCGCCGCCCCCCACGCACCACCGGTTGAGCAGGGGCTGCCCTGATGGGTCGTGGCAGCTTCAAGTCTAAGACTAAGTCATAAGCTAAGTCGAACGACACTCACGAACAACGCTAAGTCAGAAGCTGAGTCGGCAACGCCATTAAAGTCTGAACCAAGTCGTACCTGAGTCGGCTTGGCCGCCAAAGCCGCCACTAAGTCGAAGCTGAGTCGGCGTCGCCTTTGAAGTCTGAGCTAAGTCTGTCATTTTTCTTCTTCTTCTCCGTCGCGAACGCCCAGCAGGCTTCTTTTCGCCAGGGAAACGCCCCCGCCCCCCCGAGTGATGACGTAAAATGGTACGCGGTGGATAAACAACAACAGCCAAAGAAGGAACAACATAAGATTGACATGCACGTGCTGCTGGCTTGTACTTTGGCTGCCATTGAGTGCTCTGCTGAACCCATAGTGGGTCCTCCTCCCCAGCCTCTATCCCACCCCATGCTATGCTACGCACGCGTACTCTTTCACCATCCTGTCGTCCCCCATCCCCTCTCCGCGTCCACATCTGGAGATTCGGGCCGTCTTCCAATGGCCCTGGCTTTTACAAGCGCGCCTCCACCCTCGGCGCCATCCAACGCGGCTGCAGCAAAAGAGCGGCCCCTTGGATACAGGGGTTGTCTCACACACATCGCGCTTGTCCGGGGAAACGGTCTGATCGGAATTTCAAATCCGACTGCGAAAGTGATGGCAGATTGTTCGTCTGGTCACCGCGTTGGATTCAGCGCGTGTCTACACCACAGCATCCGCGTGCAACGCAACGTTGGTGTACACCAGAATGCTTGCGTGCACACGGCAGGTAAAAGGAGCATGTCGGTGAGGATCTGGCGCGGACAGCTACGCGCCACGCCAGGGAAGTGCTGATAATAGAATGTAACGTTTTTCCCTGTTCTCTCCTCCACCTACGCCTCGTCCTCCTCCTCCTCCTCCTCCTCGTCCTCATCCTCCTCCTCCTCGTCCTCATCCTCCTCCTCCTCGTCCTCCTCCTCCCTCACCCTTCCCCCTTGTCGTGCGGGTCGGCACTACAGCGCACGTGCGCGTCTCAGCGTGCACCGCTAAATGGTCCATTCAACGGTGCCGTGCTGAGTGCACGCAGGTATTGTGGCGTACAGTGGTGCTGTGTTGCGCACGGCTGATGTGGTATACGCAGGCGCAGTTGTGTACACGAACGCTGTGGTGCCACCAGGCACTGTGGCACACACTGGCGCTGTGATGCACGCAGCTGCTGTGGTGTACATGGGCGGCGTGGTGTAGACAGGCGCTGTGGTGCACGCGTGCACTCTGGTGTACGCAAGCGTTGTGGCGCAAATCGCCACCGACATGCTGCTGTTACCCGTCCTCGGCGATTCCTTGGCATTCCTTGACGCCGCCGGCGCGAAACGTGACGTCATCGGCCCCTTCCCCCCCAAATGATTGCCGTCATCGGCCCGGAATAAAACAAACTGGTTCCAGCTGCGTCCGCGCGCACGACGACGATGAGCGACGAACGACGAACGACGAACGACGAGCGACGAGCGACGAGCACCAGCGCCAGCGCCGACGACGACGACGACGACGACGACGACGACGACGACGACGACGACGACGACGACGACGACGACGACGACGACGACGACGACGACGACTGCGGACCAAACTCCTATGCGGATTCCTACGCGGACACCTATGCGGATCACGATGCGCACGGCGGCACTGTCCGGAACGCACTGGGGAGGGGAGCGTTGCGTCATAGGGAGGGGCTGGGGGCCATGACGCCTGGCATGCCCCAAACAAAAAAAAAACGAGCTCGAAATACATCGCAAAGGGGCGTCGGCGGGGAGCACCGAAAGGTGCAGAAGCCGGGTGGCGACGCTGGGCGGCTCAATGGGCGGCCCAGCGTGGCGCAACAGAGAAGCGCCGAAGTGGCGCAGGGGACTGAGCGAGCGACGCGCGTCCCAAACGGGAGGCGCGTCGCGAAGGGGCGGCGGCGGGGGGCACCGAAAGGCGCAGGGCTGGGTGGTGACGCTGGGCGGCCTATTGGGCGGTCCAGCGTAGCGCAGCAGAGCAGCACCGAAATGGCGCAGGGGACAGCGCGCGAGCGACGCACATCCCAAAAGGGAGGTCTGTCGAAAGGGGGAGAGGTGAGGGAGGGCACCGAGGAGGTGCCGAGCCAGATGCGGACAGGCGCCGAGCCCAAAGGGCCACGCACCTCATGGAGAGCGGTCAGTCGCGGCGGAAGAGTGAGGGAGCTCCGAAGTGGCGCAAGGAACAAGCAACGGCGACGTCGCACGTCCCAATGGGAGGCACGACGCCATGGCGAGAGGGGAGGACGGAGGCGCCCGCGGGCGGCACGCCCCGTAGAGGTGCCAAATGAAAACGGGCGGTGGTGGCGGCGGCGGTGCACATGTTTAGCGCCGAGGGCGGGCGCTGGGGGCGTCGTCCCAGGCAGTGTCGAAGCTGCGATTGCCGGGCTTGTCGCCTTTACTTATCGCGTCCTTTGCCTTGCTCGTCGGCCTCGCGCTCCCGCGTT